GCAGTGTTTTTCAACCTTTTTCATTGAGTGGCACCCCTGATTGAAAAATAAAAAATCGTGACACCCTTGACCAGCGGCGGATCTGAATAAGGGGGCTAATGGGCCAGATAAACTTTTTGCGAAAACGAATATTACGCGCAACGATGGGGTGGGGTCCGGGGAGGGAGTCCCTCCCCGGGAAGAAAACTTTTAAAAATTGACAATTTGAAGTAGCATTTTAATGCAAAAAACAGCGTTTCTACGTGTTCAAAATCAAAATTTAAGTCCATAGAATTTTGTCGAAATACCTACATGTAAAATAATAGTCTCTCTATTGTTTTTTAAATTTAGTTTTATTATCAAATATATCATCATTTTATATTATTATTTTATTGATAAACAATTTTTTAAAGATTTTTTATACTATTTTGATGCATATATAAAATAAATATTTCATTACTTTTTTCTTATCTTTTTCATATCAATTTAAAAAATTTAAATTAAAAAAATGATAATAAATTGTTTATTTGTCAGCAGTGCTTTTGAATACTATGAAAGTACTGTAATATGCATCTACATTGTGCACGCTTTTCAAAATGCAATGCAACGCTTTTTAAAGTATATACAAGACACAAGTGTCCATGTCGTTCTTCTCTGCTGGTTGGCCTGGTAATGGGACTGGGAATGTGAAGGCCAAGTAATGTGGTTTGGGCGAACTCGTGACAAGTCGTGCGTACACGTAGCGTTGAACATTACATTAACATGCGATTAGTCGTTTCTTTGCTTACTAGATATTTCGTAGCAAAATAGAACTGACAATGAGTTATCTTGAACTACACTTAAGTAAATTTCCAATAAAATGACTAAACGCCCTAAACTTTGCGGTACCCCGGTTGAAAAACACTGCGCTAAGTCATTGAAAAGTATGGCGCATATCATACTGTAACGACGCATTTAAAAACTTCATCTAATTACATCATTTATTTAAAAACATCTTTTAATTCTTAAATTAACCACAATAGATTTATTTATTTATTTTATAATATATAATATCTTACCTCAGGCCATTATGTCACACGAACATCGTAAACGTCCAACAAATTACAGTATAAACATATACGTTAACGCCACTCAACGTTGTCACATTGAATGAAAATGTACATATTTTTTTTTTTTTTTTAAATAACGTTTCTTGATGACCTGGCGAGTAAGGATGTGTAATAATAATTCAATATATTTTAGAAATATTAATAGTTTTTGTCAGAAACATGAGATAATTGCCAATTTTTTTAGAAATCTTTTAAAAATTTAAATCGAAATTTAAATGTTTCAAAATTTTGTTCCTCTGTGGAACCATCTGACTTTAAAGATAATAGTGTATTTTTTAAACTCTTTCCGTCTTGTGGAAATCTTGAGGGCCTTCTTTTTATTCACATTGTGATTCGACCAGGCCCAAATTAGAGCGGCCGGATAGTGAACAATGGGCCTGACCGCGATCATCCATAGTCGCAGCCTGACATATCTAGGATATATCATGAAATTAGTCTGTCCTAGAAAGTTGCTGGCTTGGATTCGATATCTGGGTTTTCTAATGAGATAGACTGACTCATTACTCACCGTCTCGGCTATCCAGCTGTCGAACTTCATAGTTTTGTGGATTGGCCTTCGACTGCCGGATGCAAAGCAGCGGGTTACAATGTGCTGGTCGGAAATTTCAGAAAGCGGAACAGACATATCCGGAATGATCTGTTCTGGACATGTCGTGCTCCGTTCTTCGCTACCTGGCCTTTCCTTTATAAGCCTAGTTGAACTCATGATAAGCACAGAGAAATTTTTTTTTTCTGCCCACAAGGAAGAAAGAATTGAAAAACAAAAGAAATTCGGATGCGCGAAAAGTTACATCCTGCATTTTGTTGACTATAACTTTTGTAAAAAAAAATCTTTAAAATATAAAAACTGTAAAAACAAAATTGTTAATTAATTGAAAAAGTTTTTTATGAGTTATGAACAGTATGGAAAATTTGGTCCAGAATTATAGGCAGGTCGTTCATTTAAACATCTATCCATAATCAAAGAAATCCTTCCAGCATTAATCAGATTAGATTTTTCTTAAAAATCTTTCTTCCCGTGGGCACTAAGAGGGCCTATTTTTTTTATTCGTTTATTATGGGTTCGGCCAGGCCTAAATGGAGCGACCGGTAATGACGGATGGTACTCGACGTATCCAGGACGAACACCTCGACAAATTCCTTGAGTTTTTTAAGGTGTTCAGTCATAATGAAGTTAAAACATTGTACAGAATACAAAAGTTAAGCAATATTTTAAAAATACAAAATAATATTTAAATTAACATAAATGCTTCAAACATAACTTTATGCATATACTGTACAATAAATTCCATAAATATTTTGTCCCAGAAATTTGATTGATATTTATTAAACATTATGTAAAGTTAATAATTAGTATTAAACTTAAAAAATTTGTAATGTGTATAAATGTTATTGTAAAAGTCCGAAGTCTTGTAAATCTTAAAAATTACCGGTAAATACGGAGATTTACAGGTATTGACTGGTAAAAGTCGGAAATAGCTGATGAAATGTCTACATTTCGGGATTTTACCGAGTAATACTGGTAAATGTCCGGATTTACCATCGGCTCGAGTGAAAAGAGTTCTGTATTCATATGTATCTGTTGTTTTGCAATATACAATATATTGCAAAATATAAATTAAGAAACTGAAATTATTATTGTAATGATTATTATTTGATTTCTAAAAATAAANAAAATAATATAGATCTAATTTGTTATACATATGTATTATCTAAGATTTTATTAAACATTTTTTTCTAAATTATTGTTTTCTTTAGTCTCCGGCCCCAATTAAAAATTATTTGTATGTATTTATATGCGAAATTATACCCCGACTTATGCGAATTCGACTACCGCGGTTACTGCTCGGTCCCACCTATTGCATAAGTTCAGGATATTACTGTACTTCAACATATTTTCCATGCTCTTTAAACTGGAGTTTTTTTCAAGACTGAGGTTTAATCAAGGAAATAGAGAGTAAGATGTAAATAAAAAAACAGATTGGTGTTCAAGCAGATTAATACAAAAAAGTATTTAAGTTAACAGCTTATGCATAACCAGCCAATGACTTGGTGGCCTTTTTTTTTTTTTTAATTTACATTGTATGTTGTTGTAATTTTTATCAAAAACTTTCTTTAAATTTAAACTGTTCTGAGAAAAACAGTCTTTTGGTATTATAATATTTAATAATTAACAAAACACAAATACTTTCGACAATGCATCATCTTCATCAGGCATACAAAAAGTTCCATTTTAGAATACCGATTTCATCCATGTTCTAAAATGTAACTTTAAGAGCACATTAGATAGAGTTAACACAAATTTATTCTTTACTTTAATTGTGGTTTAATAAGTTTTTTAAAAATGAGCATCAGATTTAATCCAGAAACTAATAAATTTTCTGAGTCAAATTTGTTGGTTAAACATTAGTACAGACAACAGACTAATTATTTCATATTATTAAGTTATATAAGTTGTTTTATTTTACAATGTACTCGTATAGAAATAGATAAATAAAAACTCATGCCAAAATTGTATAGCTTCTTGATAATAAGCACTGAGTTCAGCGTTACCGGTAACAGGTTAGAAAGAGGTAATTATATTACTATTCTCCGGTGTTGTGGTAAAGATGAGTAAGCACTGAGTTCAGCGTTAACATAATTTCTTATCTTGCAAGTACTTTCGATGAGTATAATAATACCGAGTGTTATAATTAAAAAATTGCCAAGAAAATTTTCTGTTTTCTACTTGGAACACTCTGCACGTTCTATTTTTTCAAATTTTTTCTTTTTTGCCTGAGGACGATGATATTATACTCATCGAAAATACTTGTAAGATAAGAAAATTGTGTTAACGCTGAACTCAGTGCTTATTATCAAGAAGCTAATGTACTCGTGATTAACCAGGCTAATAATGGGGAGAACAAGCATGGAAAATTGAAAACAGATAATCCAACACACATTTCTTAGGAAATAAAGTCTGGATGCTATCTTCAGAAATTTCTTGAAGCTTTAGTTCATATTTTTACCTAGATGGCATCATTTTGTTCACACTAAATATTTTTTAACAAAAGAAAGTTGTGTGTGATTGATACCTTTTTTTGTTTGGCCAATTTTGCATAAAAGGAAAAAGTTGCTACACAGATAATCTGTGCATTAATAATTGGAAGTACACTGTATATTAATAAAAAAAAGTTGCATATATTAAAAACTATAAATACAAAAATAAATATTAAAACTGATAAATATTTAATAAAATTAAATACTTCAAAAATTTAAAACATTTTAAAAATTAAACTTACCTATCAATTCCCCTAAATAGAAAAACTGACATTCGAATAGTTTGTATAATACTTGTTAACAATAGTATGATTCCAACAAGCATTGTATAATAACAGTAGCTAGTTGATGCCCATTCTGGTTTAAAATTTCCATCATCTTGAAATATTCCAGTTGTATATAACAGACAATGTCCTTTGAAGTTGTCAAGATTAATACTTAATGGCACGACAAGACATAATGATAGAATAAATGCAACAACATATCCTGTTGTCTGACTTAATAGCAATAAGTTGCCTCTACCCATACTTTATTGATAATGAAGAAAATATCTAAAAATAATTTAATTACTTATTAAAATTTGGCTTGGAACAGATTATTAATAATAAATATTGCATATACACTCACATGCCAAAAGTCATGGGATAGCAATATATAAATTTTGATGTTGCACACCATTGCTTGGACAAATACAAGACATTTGTCAGTTGTGAGGTGTTATCTCTTAAGTACATAAGGTTTAGCAGCTGCCAGGCTGATTATGTCAAGGTGACATGAATTATTGAAGTTTAAACCAGGCATGGTAGGGGGCACCAGAGAGATGGACATTCCATTCCTGAAGGTGTGCAAATGTTCAACATTCCTTCATCCAGTGTCACATGTGTACTGGAAATTCCTGATGGAAGGCATTATCACCCATCATAGACTGCACAGTGCCCAACCATGGTAGCTTAATAAATGGAAACAGCAATTTCTGGCTAGAATTGTCTGTGGTGACAAGCAACACTTACTCAAATCATATCTGAATTCTATGTAGGCAATACCAAAGACATATCCAGGAGATCAGTGCAATGTAGTTTAGTGTCCATGAGATTCAGAAGCAGAAGATGATGGAATCTTCCAGCAGGAAGATGCACAGTGTCATTGGGCCCAAGTTGTCCAGAACTGGTTCAAAGAACATTCTCAACAGTTCTAATAAATGATGGGGCAACCACATTCACAGACTATTAACACTATGACATTGAACACAGTGCATCACTTAGGCTTGTAAGCATAGTAATTGGACCACAGAGAACAGGGAAAATGTGACATGGTCTGAGATGAATCACAGTATCAGTTGGTTTGGACTGATGGTAGGGTTCAAGTATAATGCAGACCCCAAGTCTTTGGACACAAAGGCACTATGCAAGCTGATGGTGATTCTGTATTGGTGTAGGGTGTTTACATGACTTGGGTTGGGTCCACTAGTCTTACTAAACATGCCGTTGACTGGAAACCACTACATTAATTACTTGGTGAATGTCTGCAGCCCTTTATAGACTTCATGTATCTCTACAATGATGGAATCTTCCAGCAGGAAGATGCACAGTGTCATTGGGCCCAAGTTGTCCAGAACTGGTTCAAAAAACATTCTCAACAGTTCTAATAAATGATGGGGCAACCACATTCACATCCAAGATACTACATCTACAAATATCAGGGAACTGTGGACAACTATTCAGATGGCATAGCTCAGTATTTCTCCAGAAGTCTTCCATTCACTTGTAGAATTGATGCCATATCAAGCTGCTACAGTTTGCCAGGCTAGAAGGGTCCTACATGATACTAGATAGCTATCAAATGACTTTTGGCAAGTGAATGTACTTAATTTTTAATATTAAAATAATAAAGTGTAAATATTAAAAATATGTTTCTCTACATTTAATTATTAAGTAAATAACTTTTTGTGAAGACTTAATACATAAAATTAAGTATATTCAGAACATTCCCTAATAAAAATATTTGAAATCATTTGTAATGGTAAGTGATTATAAGTGTGAGAATACGGATGAGGGTCAAGGCCCTCTAATCGTCAGATCTACTCACTTTGTCACCGGATGGCTTAAATTTTTTTCAGAACCCGAGTGGTAAGATTCTGTGTGGGTTGTGCATAAGGAACAAATACTTGACTACAAAAGTCAGTAATATAAAAATCAACAATTTAATCACAGAAGACCAAAATAACAAGGACAAATAATAGATTAACAACATATAAAACATAGGTCTACTCTATAACTATAATCAGTATGAGAGAGAGAGTTTACAATAAAATCATATTACCTCCTTTTAGGGGTAGGCCAGTATCTGGAGGAGACTATATGGCTAGATCATAGATGAACTGCTGGTCCTATGGCATGTTCCTTCTCTTCGTGAACTGCCTCTCTATGGCAAGGTCCTGGGGAACTGCCTTGAGTGTATGGAAACTTGCCCTTTTATTACAGATTATTGCCCAATGATAATTCTTAGAAAAGTTGTGTCATTTGCACGAGTGGTGTGCAAAATTCTAAGCTATGAAGTGTGGAGGAAGGAAGCAAAACATCCTTGGTTCTTGAAAAATGTAGCGTAATAGAGCAGTTTTTCAGGATGTTAAAGTTTTATAACCTTTTTTGGTTATATTAACTTTATTCTAAATTTTATCAAATTTCCCTTTTTAATTGTAGTTAAATTAAATTATTTATTTAAGTTGTTTGAGAAAAAATTTATATAAATCTATTTAAGAATACCTTCAGATTATCACACAAGTGATAATAAGTAGCAAGTTCTCTGCAATAATTTAATTTATTTAGAAGAGAATGTTACATGGTAGAAATGATATACAGTAGAGCATCGATTTTCCAAATCAATTGGGGACTGGGGTTGTTCAGAAAATTGATTTTTCGGATAACCGATTATGTATGAAAAAATATATTAACCTATCCCATGTTGAAATTTGTTCAAATCCTGGCACGTCCTTAAGTACCCTCTCATGGTTGCGCCAGTACTGCCAGCTAAAACACACACACCAACGAAAATAATATTGGAGTAGCCCAAGACAGCCAAAGATAGCAGCACCGCAGCACTAGTGGAAATTTAAATTTGCAGACTGGAAAGATTTTGGTTAATTGAAATTTCAGTTGATTGACATTCAGATAATCGATGCTCTACTGCAGGGCTTCTTAAACCATTTGGGGTTGAGAGATTTAATGCAAAATATTGAAAACAATTTGTGAGAGTTTGAAAATGGCATGCTTTGTGTCATAGGTTTCATGAGTTGCATTTTGTGTCACTTCTGGTGCAGCGAAACAACGTTTCAGCAACACTGATTGTAGTGTGAACTAGTGTAGTGTTGTCGCTTTTCAGTGTATTCAGTTGTCTTTGTTCCATTGTAACACAAGAGTGAACTGCGGTAGTACACCATTATTGTTTTTGCATATTTGTATATATCTTTATTTTATATTTTTTGGGTCGCGAAAAAAAACCACAATCATAAATGGGGTCGTGAATAAAAAATGTTTAAGAAACCCTGCTTTACTGTAAATTTTTATTAAATGTTTTGGAATGTTTTCACATTTTTAAAGTCTAAATAAATGATATCCTTTGGTAAATGGTATAAAATAACAATGTTTGATTGATATCAAGTGGCAACCAGTAGCAAATCATATCAATTGACATCAAGTTACTGTTCATATATGTTTTAAGAATATCAGCTGGCAACAGTCTGCAGTGCTGCTCTGACTGGCAACACAATCAAAAGTATGGAGCTTTTGCTGGGGGTCAACATGTCACAACATTAGCTCTTACTCCTTTTTGTTGTCTGACTTAAAGGAAGCAAAAGATTTGGTTTGTGGAATTTTAATAGTTCATTTTTTAATCATTCTGTATGAAGTGTTGTATGTTATCTGATAATTAAACTACTTTTGTAACAGTTCACTGTGTGAAATCCGCAATTTTTACGCCGATGTCGGAAAAATCTTTGTAAACAACTCCGAGGAAAACCCACTCTTGGTGAGAAGTATATCGGAGGTCACCGATTGTTTTCACATTAAGGTGGGAAAGTTGACACTTAATCGATCGGAATGCACCGTAAGTGTCAACAGAAGTCGATCACGTGACTCATTTCTCACGAATAACATATAAAAGCTCGGGTCCCCGGAAGCTCCGGTTGATCCCTCGGAAGTTATACTTCGTAGATGTGCCATATTTGTCTCCATACTCCGGACCGAAAGGACATACTACCAACCACAGCCATTTGAACTTCCATCGCCATTAACGAACCTATTCAACGAACGCATATTAGACATATCCGCATAGAGGTATTTGTACTTTTTAGAGCTTTGTGAACTCTCTCTCAAACTAGCCGGGAAAGCTATTAGAGCGTCCCTTTTGTATAGTGAACTTATTTAATCGCAGTTAACCTATGTATCCTAGCTTAGTTATATAAATAAATAGATACAGTAGTGTTAATAAAATAATTTAATATAAACCTATTTAGAGTTTTCATTTTGGAAAAACAGCCATTTTGTAGGGTGTACAGAGATTTTCACAGTGTATTTTATATTTTTGTTTTTAGTTTTGGTGTAAACTTGATAGGAAACAAAAACATGCTGATTTTAAGCAATACACCAACGTTTTCTTTCTTAATTATATTTAAAATATGGAAAAACTTCACATAATTACAAAGACATTACAGTATATCAGTGGCGTGCCATGACATTTGATGATAGGGAAGCTGTGTTTCTGTAAGAAGCCAACTTCCAGGGGGCGATCAGTCAATTCTTTAACTGTATTTTTAATAGATTATTTATCCGATGTAATTAATAAATAGTTATTAATCGTTAATAATAAAGTTCAATATAATTACCTCTGTTATTAGATTCAATAGATTCCTTATGCCCTCTAAATGCCGATTCTTGCTTTGATAAAAAATATAACATCTATTAATTTAAATATATATCTATTAGCCGTAACTATCTCGTTATAATTTTCAATATTTATTTTATATTATTTACTGATANTTAAACACTTAAAAATATCATAGGCTACGTGGTATGAAAAAATATTTACGTCATTATTAAAAATTACGTCTTTTTGAAGCTGAATACTTTCATTTTCTTAAGTACTTTACAAAACAACACATACATATGAATACAATACTTTTTTTACATGAGCCGATGGTAAATCCGGACATTTACCAATATCTCTCGGTAAAAGCACGAGATGTAGACATTTCATCAGCAATTTCGGACTTTTACCAGTCAATACATAAATCTCCGTATTTACCGGTAATTTTTATCAGATTTCAAACTTTTACAGTAACATAAATATCAATCAGAATACATATGTTCAAGACCAAGATACGATTAAATAAAATATTATGATCAGATTATAGCAAGGCCGGTTTTGGACTGTTAGCCGCTTGCGTGCTACAGATTTTTGGCTACCCCTATGCTGATCGGGAGTAAATTCATAATGTAACCCATCATACGAGAGGCTACTAGTATGTTTAAGAACAGTTTCATATAACTGACAGGTAAAAAATCCATTAAAATATTTGATATATATTTATTTTAATTTTATTCAAATCAAGCAATTTTTGTAATTTAGTATATAAACACAACAATATATATATATATATGAGTATATAAAAATTGATTTAAATATTAATATTTAAATTAATGATGTTTGTGTACATCACTTTATTTAAACTTCCTTTTTGGTTCCATTAACAATTAAAACAATGATGTAAGTATTGCTTTAAGTTAACAATTAGCAATACATGTATAAAGACCCATTCACGATGAAAATTAAGCATAAATGTAAAACCTTGTATCTATGTTATTTAATTCAACCATTTACAATGAGTTACATTAAGTGTAAGCCTTAACTTAATCATATGACGTTAACATAAATAAACTTACTCCAAGATTTTATGCTTTTTATGTAATTTAAAACAAGAAACAATCATAATGGTTAAGGAATTCCCACTGATAAATTTTTCTCTGGTTCAAAGGATGAATCCCCCATCACTTGTTGCTTGCACTTTTAAGTTTTCTGATGCAAACAGTAAGATGTATGCTTTGGTTTTATTTATATCCATAAAATGCACAGCTATATCATTAGTTGTCATGCAAACATCAATCTATTTCATCACTGACCATTTTATTAAAATAATATAAAATTATATTTGAATTTTATTTTTTAGAGTGCACTATCAACCACCCTAGGAATTTGTCTGCCTGTATGCATGCGCACACTACAGACCTATCAAAACTGGCCCTGGATGCAACAAACAGTAACTTATCTATCTCAAACTTAAAGAGTAATCTCCAGGATGTACAAAAGGAGGGTAAAACTCCCAGCACACAGAAGAAAAAGTCTGCATTAAGCTTCCTGTGCTTTCTGTGGAAAATTCCTGAAATTTTGCACAGAAGTGTGTATTAGGGGAATTGATGCTATTAAATTTTAAATTGGTTACAGGTTGAGGAGGTAGAGAGATAAAGGGGGTCGTGTGATATATCTCGAGTAGGGTTGGATTTGCTGATAATTTTACTTATTATTAGCATTTACAATTTTTTATAAAATCTATCCCTACCCTGAAAATTAAGCTTTTTGCCATTTTATAATAATTAAAAATATTAAAAGTTTTTNTGGCAATCATAAATTCTTCCATCTCCCGAAAGAGGCATCCCCAAGCTAACCAGCTATTTAACGCAGTTTTGTCAACAAAATTCTGGGCTAGGTCATAGGGTTGTCTGCCGTAGAGTGTGTTTTGAACTCACGATTGCTTAAGTGTCTATGCATTTTATATGTTCTGTCTTGTCCATATGATGCAAATGTAAGTTTAATGGTGATTTTATTTGAGTCTGCTAGACTTATTGCTTTATGTAACTGTGATGTTTCTTGCTTTTGTAGAAAAACTCTCGCAATGCTCTTGTAGTGAAGGTTTACTATATCAATCAGACCACGTCCGCCATCTTTATGTGGAAGGATTAATCTTTCTATGGCAGATTTAAGATGACGTTGTTTATGCTTAGTAAGTGTTGTTCTTGTTTTCATTTGGAGTTGCTCAAGATCTGTACGAGTCCAATGTATAACTCCAAAAGAATAAGTAAGTACTGGGACGACATATGTGTTTATTGCTTTAACATCATTTTATTTCATCAGTGAATGAAATACAAGCATAAGAAACACAACAACTGCGATAAAAATATATAAATAAAACTTCAAATTAATAGAATATGTAAAAGTTTACGTCACACCTTTCACCTTGTGACGGCACACCAGTGTGCCGCGGTACACCGGTTGCGGAACACTGATCTATAGAATAAATGCTTTATCGATTTCGGATCGGTAATCGCGCTATTTTTGCAGGGATGTCGGTGACTACGTGCCATTCATGCTCGACGAGGAAATTTCCCTTAACTTTACATTTTTGAATATTTTTGTCAAATGGCGTATTTTAAATTTAATGAATTTTTGAAAATGTGACCTCGCATTGGGTCACATTTTTAAAAAAGTTTTTACATAGTGATTACGCGACGTTCAGTTATCCAATCGGAAGTATCGATCTAACGANTCAAACAAATTTTTTATTTAAGTGTTTATATTTAACTTGGGCATTGGCCTTTCTCTTTTAATAATGTTTTCTTTTTCATTATATGATCTTGAGCCAAAACTTTTTTAAAATAAATTTTCAATATTGCAATTACCTTCTAAATCGCTAGAAACGTACATAAAAATAACATAAAATCTTCTTTACTTTTTAAATCTTAACCACTTAGTCAAATAGCTCCCTACGAGTGGAATCAGAGACAGTACTGCTAGGTGTGCGGTGCATGCATGCATGCATGCAGGCTGCCAAATCCCGAGGGTGCCGATACTGGTCAACATCAAATGCCTCTTTTGTCACATCACTAGTATATCTCAAAGGACGCAAAGGGTTGTTGTAAATTTTAAATGTTTCTCGCCATAGCTGTAAAAATCTAAATATGTTAAACTTAATTGTCATTTGTTTTCTAACTAATTCGTTTTAAGACCAAGTGTCCACAGAAATTTCCAAAATTTACAACTTTTTGGTCACTGTTGTTGAACTGGAAAAATTTCTGTTTATATTACATCTAATATTACAAAGAAATCAGTCCCTGCTGTACTCAGCTAGAGATTGGGTCGATTAAGCTTTTAAGTAATATTCTGGCTCTTTCAGCAGGGTTTTATTTATGTCCCTAATTCCCTAATCAATTATTTAATTATTTCTCAAGTAGAAATAAGTTGAAACCAGTTACTTTGTACTCGAATATTTGTAGTCTTAGGAAAAAAGTTTTAGGAAAGACAAATTTTTATGACAAATGGATACATAAATTGTAAATTTAAGGAAAATAAATTCTAGAGATTTTTCTGCACCGTGTGCATCTCTCTCATTCATTAAATTTAATTGTAAATAATGCTGTCAGAGTAACAGTTAATTTTTTAACATTATACAAGAATTGTACACGTTTTTTCTACATCCCCTTAAAGATGGGATATACAAAATCATATCACTGGTTTAACATTGAAATCTGTGAGTAATATAAAATCGGAGAGCAGAATAAAAATATCAAATATTTTAATGGATTTTTTTAAAACTCCTGTCAACTATACAGAACTATCATAAAAACATACAGTAAATTCTTATCAGTTGGTTAAGTTATAAATCTACTCGTGATTCACATAATCAGGCAAGGGCGGCCAAATACCTAGCAGGCAGGTGGCTCATAGCCCAGAACCAGTCCTGGATAGAATTGGATACTGTATACGTGTAGCATCCACCCAAGGTCCTAGGCTTCCACCAGCTAAATTGGGTGAGATTGGTGCTCTGTAAAGCCATGTGCAAATCTGGCTTTTTGGATGCTGACGATACAGCGCTTCCACTTTGCCACTAATACCAGTCGATCTCCCTATAACAGTGTTGATTATTCCGTTTTATATGAATTCCATGTTGTACGAGTCATTTCGATTTTACAAATACATGAGCTGTTCACAGCCTGGCACACATATTTGTAAAATCTAAGTGACTCGTACAACATGGAATTCGTATAAAACAGAATAATCAACAGTGTTGTAGGGGGTCGACTGGTATTCGAATATACAATAGCAATCTTATCTTTTTTTCACGTGTAGTATAGAAATTCGTAATAAGATATATAATGCAGTTATAATAAAATATTGTGCGATAATTTTCATATAATTAAAATTAATATGTATTTATTTTTTAGAAAATACAAGGGAAGCGGCACATCCACCGCTTCCAATGATGGCACACCACTGCAGTATATCTTAGTTATTATACGAAGATTCGGTCCATAATACAAATAAAAGTGAGTCATCTGCTAAGTCAGTGTTTTTCAACCTTTTTCATTGAGTGGCACCCCTGATTGAAAAATAAAAAATCGTGACACCCTTGACCAGCAGCGGATCTGAATAAGGGGGCTAATGGGCCAGATAAATTTTTTGCGAAAACGAATATTACGTGCAACGCTGGGTGGGGTCCGGGCAGGGCGTTTCCTCCCGGGAAGAAAACTTTTAAAAATAGACAATTTGAAGTAGCATTTTAATGCAAAAAAACAGCGTTTCTACGTGTTCAAAATCAAAATTTAAGTCCATAGAATTTTGTCAAAATACCTACATGTAAAATAATAGTCTCTCTATTGTTTTTTAAATTTAGTTTTATTATAAAATATATCATCATTTTATATTATTATTTTATTGATAAACAATTTTTGTTAAATTTACTGGTTATAGCTGTATATTCGTTTGTGAATGGTTGTCTCTTTAATCCGACTTATTCTTTCGACTTATTCATTTAATCCGCCATTAACCTAATGCTGTAAGATAGTCTACCGAAAGAATAAGTCGGATTAAAGAGAC